CAAAGCGGATGACTAAATCTTGAAATGGCGTTGCCTTTCTGACGAAGGGCGCGCGGTTCTCATATGGCACGAGAAAGCGTTCGCGGATAAACTGATATGGAATTACGATGGCTTTAGGAGCTATAAGTATCAGTACACTCACGTATGGAGAGTAATGTGACTTACCGAGAGAAGGCAGAGCTGGGATGAGCCATGTCAAGAGTGGTATGATGCCAATCTGGATCAGCAATTGAGGCGCAAGAAAGACGAGGAAAGCTACACAGTCCAAGTAAGAGATCTGGCTCAGTATCATCTTGATGAGATAGCATATGGATGAAGCATGTCAGCTAATGGCATACCCAGCGAAGGTGTCTAGAAACGCCAATGGCGATGACGCTGACAAGGGTCCAGCTAAGCCACAACCGCTTAGCGCCACACGACGGTACCGCATTTCCTTTGCTCCAGCCTTGACCAGAAACATGCGAGAGTTCCGAACGCTGCTGGACGCAAATCGCGCGTGTTCAGTGTTCAGTGAAACCCGAGCATTGTCTTGCTTGAGCAAACGATAGTTCGCACGTGACGGAGATTAGTGGCGCCGCGCACAGACCTATCGGTCGGTCGCGACTTCCAGAAAACTTCCGCGACTCACTTAGCTGTCACTCGGCAAACACGACTACAGCGTCTGCAATCAACGTCGCCCGCTTGCCTGCGCCCGCATCGAAGGATCATATCAAACCGGTCGCTTCTTGTCTGTCATTTCTCTCTTCGATTTTAATGGAGTAAAGCCTGGCGCAGACTGCGATTCATCTTCTTACACGGCAGCCTTACCAGAAGTCGCGAACCCATAGGACCTCACCATGGCCAACCCCGCGGCGGATCCCAAGGCGGCACCGCTCGCCGACGAGCTGAGAGAGCTTGCGCTGTACATATGCCTTTTTCCAATTAGCACGACCAATACTAATATGTGCAGTTCGCTCCCAACCACTGTCTTCCCTAAGAACTTCTTCTGCGCCCTTTGCAACCAGCTTGCATTCGACTCATACAAACTAATCTGTTGCGCCAAGTCAATATGCTCATCATGTGCGTATAACAATCTCTGCGATCGGATTATCACAGGTGCTGACATGGTTTAGGTCAAGGAAACCTTCAGTTCCCGACAACGTGTCCTTCATGCGACCACTCACCACTCGAAGCCGAATCATGCACAGTGAACAAGTCTCTGAGAAATACGATGCGAGTGTGGCTCCAAAAGCAGAAGAAGAAGGAAGAGGCCAAAGCCGCGGCACAGGCAGCTACCCCGCCCGTGGAGGTTACACCAGCCGCGCCTGAAGTACAGCCGGTAGGCGATGGCGCAGAGAAACCCGTAGACAGTGTTGAGGATACACCAAAGGCGGAGGACGGCGTCGCTGAACAAGCTGCTGGTTCTGCGGAGAACGCGGAAGAGGCTGGAAAGCGCGCCGGCTCTGCCTCGGCCCAACCGAACGAGGTAGGTTCTCAATGTCTTTCCTTCCGTTTTCACTTGGATCTATCGGTACTGTACAATGAAAAGAAGAAAAAGACAAGCAAAAGAGAGACCGTCGGGTGTCAAACAATTGCAAAACATGGTTGCCACACGTGCCAATGACATGAGATGCTTTCCATTCTACCTTTTGCTTTTACTGACCAAGCTAGGACAATGCTTCTCTTGAGAACGACGCCGAGCGACGTGGTAGCACGGCTTCCCAGAACGCGTCCAAAAGCACCGAACAGGCAGCTGTAGACGGCGCGACCGACGAGCAAAAGAACGCGAATGGAGCAAATGGCATGATGGGCAACAATCCAGCGATGAACGGCATGCAAGGCCAGATGGGCTTCGGCTTTCCCAATCAGGGTGGCTTCAACAACGGTATGGCCTGGAGCGGCATGCCTAACATGATGGCCAATGGTGGCTGGAATGGCATGAATCCTATGGGTATGTTTTTGCATTCTCCCCCATCTACCCAACAGGCGACTAACATCTACCCAGATTTCAACAGCATGAACGGCATGTACGGCAACTTTGGAGGGAACATGGGCATGGGCATGAACGATATGTCTGCCATGAACATGATGCAATATGGTGGTGGCTATGGCAATGGGTGGAATGGCATGGGCGGTGGCTATGGAAACTTCAGCGGGCCCAATCAGATGGGTGGCTATAATCAATCTGGAGCATATCCCGAGATGATGAACCAGTTCCCCAAGAATAATTTCTCAAACCAGAACCAGAATCGTTTCCATGCCAATCAAGGAGGAGCAAATCCTCAGCGAAACAACAGGAATGGTAGCCAAGGTGGCTTTGGTCCTGGTTCACAGAATGCGCCTGGACGTCCGGGTAGTCGCGGCGGTCCTTCGCAAAACGTACGTTCAACCCATCAACGAAAGCTACCGAACCCATTCAAGGGAATTGGCAAAATTTGGATATCAAAAACTGACGCGATTCATCCTACGCAGCGTGACGGCCAGTCGCCTGACGGAATCGCTAACACTGCCCCTGAGGTCACGACCGAGGGTGAGCAGCCGAAGGCGTCCGCAGAGCCCACTGAGGAAGGTAAGGAGGCCGGCGACGGTATTCCGGTATCGACTGAACAGCCGAACTCTGCAGACGGCGTCGTTGCTGGCGTCGCGAGCGGAGCTGTTGCCGAAAATACTAACAACACAGGCGATGCTGTACATGATGAGGCGCAAGACGGTGGTCTGAAGCCTATACAGACCATAGACTCTGGCGATGCAGACATGCAGGAGTACAACCAGTCTATGATGGGCCATGGCATGCCATTCGCCCAGGGAATGATGAATCAGTTCCCGAATCAGCACATCAATACACCTTTCGATCCCACCATGAACATGAACATGGGATACAATGGCAACTACGGTCCTCGTGGCGGTTTCAACAACGGAGCTTATGGCGCTGCAACGGTTCTGACAGGCCAGCCAATGGAGCCTATTGGTGTTGGCGTTGCGGGCGCGCCAACTGGACCACGTGCGATGAGAGAAGGCCGACCCAACACTGGGTTTTCGAGTCGCATGAACAGCGGGCGATATGCCCCACCGCAGCCGCCCAAGAGCATTGCATCTACACAAGACGTAGCCGCTGGTAGTCCTCAGCGGAGAGTTCGATCGTGAGTAGATTCGTGTGAAACATACAGGATAAATAATGACTGACTATGACACAGACGGTCTCCTCTTCGCGATGAGAGTATGCGCGTCAAGGAACGCTCACCATCACGCTCTCGGTCAAGATCAAGAGTGAGGGATGATGAGAGGGAAGAACCGCGCGAGCGGTCTCGTTCAGCAGACCGAAACTCCCGCCGTGATGACCGTGGTAGATCTGTCACGCCATTGAACGATGACTATGAGAGTCGTAAAGACCGCAAACACCGGTCATCACGCTATGAAGATCGTGAGGAGGAATACGATGATCGCTACCGCGATGAGAAGGGCAGTCGAGGTGACCGTACGCGAACTGCGTCAGCAGACTCCAAGTATCGTAGCAGCCGTCGCGACAAGGACAAGCACCGTTCATCGCGATCACATCGCGACCGAAGCAAGGAGCATCGCCGTCGCCACCGCTCCCGGTCGCCTCGCGAGGAAGACAAATACGAAGACGAGGAGGTGTATGCCAACGGCGAAAAGGATTCAGACGGCAGCTCACGTCGTAAACACAAGAGTGGCCGTGACCGATCACGCGACCGATCACGCGACAAAGAGCGTGAGAGAGACCGCAAGGACCGTAAAGAACGAGACCGCGACTATGACTATGATCGTGAAAAGGATCGCTCTCGTGACAAAGACAAGGAGCGTAGGCGGCGTCGCGATCGCGAAGCTGAAGACGACGAGCGTGACTATGACGATGACAAGTACCGCTCTTCGCGTCGTAGCCGCAAGGACCGAGATCGCGAGCGACGGGACTATGATGACCGTGAACGCAAAGACAAGCCATCTCAACCGGAGAAAGAAGAGGATGTTGTTGGTCAAATGATGAAGAAACGCGCTGTGTCTCCACCACTGAACGCCCCGACCGGGCCTTCAGCAAATGGCTTCAGCATCAAAGGCCGCTCGAAGAACGCCGTCATGCCCCCACCGGCCCAGCCTCCAACAGGCCCACGTGCTTTCCAGCCACCCAAGGGTCCGGCTGCCGACCGCAATAAAGAACGTAGTGGAGATGCTAGGGATCACCGCCGCAAGAGCAGTGTCAGCTCGGTCGCGAGTATCCCAACCGGCCCTTCATCAAAGGAAAAGGAAACTTCTCAGGACCACTACGCTGCTGAACGAGAACGCAATGCCCGAGAGCGAGACAGTCGTGAACGCGTTGAAAAACCCTCCGGATCTAGCAAGTCCATCCATTCGCGTATCTCATCGACATCTCGTTCAGCCCTGTCTAGTAAGCGCAGCAGAGACGACTTTGATGACGAAGCTCCTGTTCCCAAGGGTCCTAAAGCCGACGTCAAGCCCCCTACAGGACCTGCATCCCACCGCGACAAGCGTAGGAAGTCTGGAACGACCGGTGATGACAACATCGCCAACCTCTTCACAGCCGGCCTGCGCAAGAACGCTAAGGCTAGGCGCGGGGGTGTAAGGACTGAAGGCGACGTTGAGCGTGAGATGATGGAGCGAGAGCGGGAGAGGCGCTAGTATGGCTCTTTTGATCTTGCGTACATGGACATTACTAGGGAACTCATTTATGCTATGAAGGAACGATTGGGCTAAGAGCAATTCGAAGTGGTAATGTAGATAACCTGGGGGATTCTGGAGGAGCGCTGAGCTACTTCTCTACTTCTTTGTATTATACCCTTTGATGAAATGAGCGGGGCAAGATAGGTGGAAGAGCGTGCGGATGCTGTACGCTCTGTCATTAGCTTAGGCTAGTACTAATAAAATATATTCCTGAATCGAATGGAACCATGCGGCGTGATGAAGACGTGGTTTGTTCGTGGTATCATTTACTCTTTTACATCTAGTTCGAGGCGAAGCCAATATCAAGCTAGTCAACCCCGAAAGATCTACCGCCTGTGGTTGACGAACTCCTTTTGTTCACCACCCAATCTCGAAGCTACGACAGTAGCTTCCCTGATTGCCTTTGCAACGGCGCCCCTCACGCCATCTTCCTCGAGTGACATGAGACCACCGATGGTGCAGCCCCCGGGCGTCGAGACCTTGTCCTTCAGCACAGCTGGGTGCTCACCGTTCAGCACAAGTCCTGTGGTTCCCCTCATGGTCTGCGCGGCCATCATCTGTGCCTCCGCTCTTGGCAAACCCATAGCCACAGCACCATCCGCCGCGGCCTCCAGTATCAGCGCAAAGAATGCTGGGCCCGAACCACACAGCGCAGTCGCTGCATCCATGTTCGCTGGAGGAAGGTTCGTAACGCGGCCAATTGAGCTGAAGACGAACTCGACAAGCTTGTACTGTGCCTCACTGAGTGGTGGATCCGAGGTCTGAATCACAGACATGGATTCCCCAACGAAAGATGCCGTGTTGGGCATGACCCTTACGACACGGCAAGCGTTCTCCGTCTTCTCAGGACCATCTGGGTACAGGAACGCTTCAATCTGCTCCCTAGTCACACCGGCCAGAATGCTAACAAGCACCTTGCCCTTGAGCGCCTCCCTCACACCCTCCTCACCCAGTATCGTCTTGAAGCCATGCGGTTTGCAGCTCAGTAGAACAATGTCTGCTTCTTGAACACCCTTGAGGTTCTGGTTTGTGAGGGTCTGGAGAGGGAAGTTGTAGTGGCCGAGTGCCTTGCGGACGTTTTGTTCAGCGGGGGCCCATTGGTCGCAAGCGATGAAGTTGGAAAGGTTAGGGACGTCTTTGGGGGCCGAAGAGGGGTCGAGGGAGGCTTTAGTTTTGGCCGAAGCCAGGGAAGACATAACGCCGCCCATTATCGCTATGCCCATTGTTCCTGGGGTTGTGTTAGTGGGGGTTCGAGCACCATTACAGACGCGTTAGACGTTGAAAGGCTTGAGGGTTGAGTTCTGTGAGGCGAGTATATTTCAGAAACACAAACGGCTCGTAGTGCTATTCATACAACCATAGGCTCTTTCAAAACTTAATCGCAGCGCCCGAGTGGTCTTTTGCTGGGAATAACGTATGAAAACAGTAGATATCGACCTACCTGAACCGAGAACGGTCAATGTAAGAGGCTTGGATTCCTGTGCGCTTGCCATCTTCAATACTGTCTTCTGGATATCTTGCTGGGTGGTGGTGTTGGACAAATGCGAAGGAAGATGACTGCTGAGTTACTGGAGCGCGAGATCGGCGGCCTTCCCCACGTCCACTTAAAGAAATCCTGAGCTATGACCATGGCCGATGGTATGCGCGCGCAGCTCTCGAAGCTCTCCACTCCACGCAGGCTATCGCACACCAAGACACATCGCTCCACACTACCCCGACCGCTATACCGACAATACTACCGGCAAGCTTGTAGTAGCCAAACGCTTTCTTAGCTTCCATCATGGCCGACCCATTCGAGGTCCGCCAACGCTTTACAACGCTACTCTCTCACCTCAGCGCATCGCATACCTCCCTCCAAAAAGCCGCGTTCTACGCGCTCAAGAATCGCGAACTGGACGAAGACCTTCATTCCTGCATTCTCGAACAGCTCGAACGTACCAATATGAACACACGCGCAAACATCATGTTCTTCATCGAATGCCTCTGCGAATACGCCGTAAAAGACAACAACTCAGGAGACCCCAGCGCAATGGGCTACGTCCGCATGCTGCAAAGAGACATCTTAGCGGTTGTCGAATGCGTAGTGGGTGAAGAAGGAGCAAACATCCGCGTTGTGCGCAAAGTCCTGAAGACCCTCGAGAACCTCTCCATCCTGTTGAAGGAAACTGTTCAAGAACTTGAAGCTGTTCTAAAGTCCAGAGAGGTTGCACATCCATTTATGGCAACAGATTCCTCCAATCCCAAAGATGGCTCCACAACACTACCAAGTCGGAGTGGAGGGCAGAGGATGGATAAACGGCAGATTGAACAGAGAATCGAGGAGGATAGAGAGAGACACAAGAGGATGCGGGAGAGTATTTGGGCGGTGCCTGGAGATGGGTATGAGGAGTTGGAGAAGCTGTGGGAAGAGGCTAGCGACATCAACGAGGATGACTATGTCACGGCAAGGGAAGATGCGGAGGAGAGGAGGAAGGTCATTGCTTTTGGGTAGGACCCTAGCAAAGATCGGGAGAGCATTAAAGCTTGGCAGAAGGCCAAGGCTGCCGTGGAGGCTTCTGCGGGGTCTCTAATTACTGCAAGACAAGAGGACTCAGGGATTGATGCAGACAGCGAGAGTTCGAAGATGATGTCAATTGGAAATGGCTCCTAGAACAGTATGTGGGAGGAAGTTCATCCGGATTTCTGGCGTTCATCGGATCCATAAAGGTATTGTCACAGCATGAGCTAGGCGTTAGGGCAGAGATACCACGGGCTTGTCTTATGACGCCCACATTGTTATTGGAGTTTTGAGTATACTGAATACATCCATGATCATTCCAAACATATCTGTACACGCCCATGTGCAATGCTATGATACAGTATCCGTCTCTTCCTCGCTTCTGCACCGTCCCCTACTCCATAACAACCGTAGCACCCAGCGCCTTGAGGGTCTCAACAATCTTCTCTGCCTCCTCCTTTGGCACACCCTCCTTCATCATCTTAGGTGCTCCTTCAACAAACTTCTTGCTGTCCACCAAGCTCAATCCCAGCATGGCCTTGATCTCCTTGATGACCTTGGGTTTCGCGCCGGCGTCGAACTTCTCGAGCTTGAGGTTGAAGAGGGTCTTTTCTTGGGCAGCAGGTGCGGCTTCTTCCTCTTCGACGGGGGCTGCGGCTGCGGGGCCTGCGCCTCCTCCAGGACCGGCGACGAATCCGCCCATGGGCATGTCGGGGATGTTCAGGCGGGTCTTTGGTCGAAATGTTAGCATATATGCGTGTAGAGCTTTGACGTGCTGGTGGAGGCGGTCGTAATTCCAAATGTGCCAGAATCATCACCCAAGTCAGTAGACATAGACAGAACGACTACTATGGCATATCGCTTTGGGTTTTCATCGCATGCCACCAATATTCGGTTGACTGTCTGCCACCGCCACCTCCGCCCCACGTTGATGTATCCGTACCTTTAGTGTTGATACCAAGTCCGCAGTCTCCAACAGAGTCAATTGGCTAATCTGGTCCACGATTGTCGCAATCTTTGGGTTGGTCGGAGCTGCCGCATCTGATTGCCATCTCCGCTGTATCCTCTGCTGTGTGGCGCCAATCGTCGGTCGTACGTATGCGGACTGCTTTGCGGTGCAGATACAGCGCCTGAGCGCGCGAGATGCTGGTGCTGCCATTGTGCTGGACGAGAGGGCGTGGATCAATGATGATTGCACGTTGTGGTCGTGCCTGCCATCATGAGATTTTGCGGAGCGGATTACGACTAATCAGGTTACCGTCTTGGCGTTCTCAAAGACCCGCAAAAAAGTTAGAGAACTTCGAGGCACTCAGACATCGCCGCCACAACACCACCTTCCGGGCATATTGAAGCGTCGAAACTATGGGAAGGCGCCCCGAAAGCGAATCACGAATCAGTCCTTGCAGAAATGGAAGGAATTAATACTCGCAAGACCGGTGAAATGGTCAATATTAACGCGCTTGTTACCGAAGCGCTGAAGCCTGGATCGACGGACGATATTTTCGTTCAACATGGTGGACTCCTCACAGAGCTATGTGCGCGGTGGATACAGTCTGGCGCGAAGACCGACGCGAAAGTTGCAGCTTTTGGACGATTACTACCACTTGCGCCTCATCTCGCAGAGCACGTGGAACGATTTCTATCACATACGTCAGATTCGCCAGTGATTGGATCTAACGCTTCAAATCATGCGACCACAGCAATTCAGGATTCGGATTTAATAGAAGTTCTGTTGGGAACCTTCCGACTCCTCAGCTACGACTGCAAGAACTTTACCTACTATGTACGACCACTAGCTCTAGAGAGCCTTTTCCACCACTCGAGCCGCATTATGCGGTATCTGGCCATACGGACGCTTTGCATCTACGCGCACACAGCGGATTATGCAACCCAAGAGATCATCAAGAACTTTGTTGGAGACGGGGAGATTGAAGGCCCATGGGAAGGGCAACAAATCGACTACCGGTTCTTGTCGTTATGGGAAGAGAAGCGATGGAAAGATTTGCAAAAGAAGTTGAGCCAGACCAGTTCCACTGATGTGACTCAGGCAATAGCTGTGCAACAAGACCTCTCGCCATATACGGTCAACGTCAATGGTGTCTTGTTGCCTCGATTAGACGGTGCACCATCCCAGGAGAGGCCTACTGAGCTGGTTCCGACAGCTACTACAGAACAGAACCTGAAGAAAATCGCCTATGGACTTCTTGAATCTAGCCCAATCCTACTCACTGGACTCGCAGGCTCAGGCAAGACGCTTCTTACCCGCCATTTCGCGTGGCAACTTAACAAGCTGGATAAGATGGTTACCCTCCATCTGAATGAACAGAGCGACGCCAAACTATTAATTGGCATGTACACAACCGGAGCCAAACCGGGAACATTCGCATGGCGCGCAGGTGTGCTTACTACGGCTGTTCGAGAAGGAAGATGGATCTTCATTGAGGATCTCGATAGAGCACCAAACGAGGTCATCAGCACCCTTCTACCGCTCATCGAGCGCGGTGAGCTGCTCATACCTAGCAGAGGAGAGACCATACGAGCGGCACGTGGTTTCCGTATCATCGCGACCATGCGAAGCACCCTTAATCCACGGGGCCAAGAGATCATACCTCGTCAGAGTATGATCGGTCATCGATTTTGGAACTCAATTACTGTGCAAATGCCACAATTGGACGAATTCCGCCAAGTGATACACGCCAAGTATCCTGGGCTGCAGAAACACCTTTCCGGCATCATGGAAGTCTATGCGCGATTGATGGAGCTGTACTCAGATGCAAAGTTCTCATCCGAGAACGGCACGTCGCTTCGAGCCATGACGCCACGAGATTTGCTCAAGTGGTGCGATCGGATAGCGGTGCTTCTTGGACAAACTGCATCTTTCAACAATGCACAAAAGGACGACATATTCATGGAGGCATTCGACTGCTTTGCGGGAAGTCTCCGCACCGAGAGCGCACGGCTGAAGGTCATGTCATGTGTGGCTGAAGAGTTACATATCGATCCCCAGCGACGTGATCACCTACTACGAAATCGTGAAATCAAGCTTCAGGTACCTTCGAAGATCACGGCATCTGCTACTATCCAAATCGGACGAGCGAGACTGTCCAAGCATAAGTCTTCGAAGAAACTTGGCTCAGGGCGACCGTTTTCAACCAACGACTACACTCTACGGCTACTCGAGAAGGTAGCTGTAGCAGTCGATCGCCAAGAGCCACTTCTATTAGTGGGTGAGACGGGAACCGGAAAGACTACATGCATTCAGTATCTGGCTGAGCAGCTTGGCCGAAAACTGGTAGCTTTCAATCTGTCACAGCAAAGCGAGAGTGGCGACTTGCTTGGTGGATTCAAACCTGTCAATGTGCGCAGTCTAGTAATTCCCCTCAAGGACGAATTTGATGAGATCTTTGATACTACGTTCTCGAGAAAGAAGAATCTACGGTTCATGGAAATGCTCGGGAAACGCGTCGCAAGAGGCGAGTGGAAGCGCGTGTGTGCACTCTGGCGCGAGGCACTGAAGATGGTAGACGCCGCCCGGAAGTCGCACGAATCACAAACGTCGTCTCCAGATCCCGACGGTGGTCAGCCAAAGAAGAAGCGGAAGATGGACTCATTACCTGTCAACTTTCCAACTGCTCGATGGGAGAAATTCGCAACCGACCTCCATGACCTAGAGGCACAGCTCTCTAGTGGCTCAGAGGCATTTGCTTTCTCTTTTCTGGAAGGCAATATCGTCAAGGCAGTCAGGAATGGTGACTGGGTACTTCTTGACGAGATCAATTTGGCATCCTCAGATACTTTAGAGGCGCTTACTGATCTCTTGGGCGGAGGACCAGATGGAAATCCATCGATACTGCTAACAGAGACTGGCAACGTTGAACGAGTGGTCGCGCATCCCAACTTCAGAGTGTTCGCCGCGATGAACCCGGCAACCGATGTAGGCAAGAAGGATCTGCCGTCAGGCATCCGATCACGGTTCACGGAGCTTTATGTTGAGAG